ACTGATTGCTTTATTCCATACTAGTATGGTGAAAGTGTTTCTTAAACCTTGAAACTCTCAGAAGTAATGAACATGTAACTTCTCCATATAATATCCAAACATATGACAAGTAGAATTTGTTTTGTTGATATAACACCAAACTCTGGTTACTAATTGACAATGAAATACGTAGCAGCTTGGGGGAAGAATTAACAATCAGATTTTGAGAGTTAAGGAGCTAATTAGTAATATAATAATAAGTTATAAACTGGGCTGAAGTGTTTTGTTAATGGTAGTATGATCCTTTCAAGAACTAATTTCATGGAAAGAGACATTTATGATTTGCCCTCTTTATAAACTGTGTAAATTGTAGTTATATTCTTTCCTTTATAGATTTATTTCACACACCGCTTTGTGATGAAAATTGCAGTATTTCCCATCATCACCTTATCTTGACATTGTTGAACACCTCAAACAGATTGTGTTCCAAAAGACGAGCAAACAGTTTTTTGGTGCTTTTGGAAAATACTAAAGTCAACTTCCTCAAATGTGTGAAGAAGAACCTCATGCAGGGTCTTTGCAAGGATAATGATCTCTGCAATGATTTGGAAATTTTCCAGTATCCACTGATTCATGTAGCAGCACTGCTATTAAAGTACACAGCAGTAGACATGCTGAATTATCTTGGATTTAAACTGGACTCCTGCTCCCAGAGAACAGGTGAGTTTCCCCTGCATGCAACTCTTCGTCACTGCTACGAAGCTGGTGTGAAAGTTTACAAGTCACCTGGGTACTTTGAGAGGCTTTTTCCTAAGGTGTTTGAATGTCTTTCCAAGGATATTAGTTTGTTGAAGCTACTGTCTCAGCAAGATAGAAATGGAAATACACCTCTACATGTTGCAGCTAAGAAGATTATTGAAAGACCAGGTCCCATCACAACATCGGCAAACATAATAGTACCATCAAGTCCTGATTCCACTCAAGAATGTCACTCTTGCAGTTCCCAAGCTCAACCAACTACTCAGGTGTCTTTAGGTTGCAACTCAGGAGCAAGGATTACAACAATCCACCAACACAGAGCTAATTTTTACATAGGTTGTTTGGTTTACATTTTCTTAAAACTCCGTGAAGTTGCTACAGAAAATCGTAAAGTTGTCCTCAGTGTAGTCAAACCTGTACTCACAGTTACAAACAAGGAAGGAGAAACATTTTTGCAAATCATGTGCAAAGAGCATCACATTGCCATGAATGGTATAGTTTCATTGCTCGCCAATTTCCCCCTCCCCGTGTTTTATAACTGCATTAAGCAGTGTATTCCAAAAGACTGTTGGCCTGACATTGTTAAGAACCGGCACCTCCATGAAGAACATGAGATTGACTGTGGGTCAAATCAAAATGAACCTGTGTCGTCTCCCCTGGAAGTGTCCATGCCACCAGAGAAAGAAAGAGGTAACTTTACCAAAAGTGTTAATTAGTATATTGAAAGACTGAAACTGTGGTGATGTCTTTGTAATCATTGAACATTCCCAAATTGAATTGTAATCTTAGATGTTTACAATGGTTATAGGACCAAGTGGAGTCCAATTCGGTCTGTAATCATACAAGTGATTAACAAAATTGGACGAGCATGAAGCCGGAGTCCAATTTGTTAATCATGAGAATGATTACAGACAGAATTGGACAACAAGAAGTCCTGTTAGCAATTAATCATAACCATTTCTATTTTCCCCCAAAAAAAATACACCTAGAACAATTATCTCCAGTGGAGACAATGTATTTTGTTTGACATTCCTCCATTTTGTAAATTCCCTAGTTTTTCTTTGGATAAGTGGTTGTTGCTATGGTTATTGTGATAATTTCTGTGATTGGTGGACTAGTGGAGTGGACTTAGTATGATTGGCTGCTTCAACTGTCTGATTACAGGAGTACCATTACAGCCAACTATCCGATTACACTGTCTTATTACAATTGTACAGAATGATTAGTGAAAAATGAAACTGTGAATACACCAATAATATTTGAGGAATTTGTAATGGTTATGATTAAGGGAAGAATAATACCTAAAAACTCAGGGAAAAACTGTTCAAGAAAAAAATGAGAAACATCAATCAACACAACCACATTGGGATTTGAGATGTTTTGCTTGATTCTAGACCATCATTTGTGGCAAGCTCTTCACCAGTGCACCATTCTTGCCCTGCTCATGATGTAACTTTTGTGATTTTCCTGCACAATATTAATTCAGGATGATTTCTCTAAATGCTCTTGAATTCCTGGATGGCACCTCTTTGAGTGCTATATTTCTACCTACACTAAGATAAACTCAAGGAGGTCCACAATATGAGAAAAATAATTTTTTTTCGGTGTAGTGGTTAATTTTCAGTAGTGGATTGATCTAGGTTGCTCCTGGAAAACCATTTGAAATTTAAAAGCTTAAGCACTAGCAGACAAGCCTAAATTTAACTGTACAACAATCTGATTTTGTTAGACTCCTATTTTCATGTGCTTAAAGAATGGTTGTTGCTTACAAACTTATAGTGAAACAGTTTAATGACCATGAAATTGAAGGCACAGATCAAGCTAGAAAAAACAGGCATTAAGAACTTCTGTGGCTGGTTAAGTCAAGACATGTTTTGTACTACATGATTATATCTTCTGTGTGTGGTGCTATCATCAACTGCATGTGCACTTTGTTTTTCATTAGGAGCACAACCTTCCAAACCAGAGTCACCCAAGCCATCTTCAGATGTTATTTTTTCAGAAACACCTGTTACTGTCTCCCCCTTAGCAGAGGTGTCCATAGCTGAAGAGTCCATTTCTGTTCCCTCTCCAGCCACACCCCTACACAGCAGTGCTAGTGCAATATCACAAAGTTCGGGTTCTGGTGTGGGCAACCTCAACTCAGTTCTTACACCACTGGTAGCAAACCCTGTGCACACCACACTGAGACCAACAACTAAACGAAAGATCATTGAAGCATTAAGGGAAGAGTACACAGAGAGATTGGAATTGGCTGTGAAGGGGAGGCATGAAGTTGAGGAAGACATCTCTAAGCACAAGTCAAAGACAAAAGAACTCACAGAGTCTATCGTTAAGAGAAAGGCTCAAGTGGAAAAGCTGGAAAAAGAACTGCAGGAGATGCAAAAGGAAATGTGGCACAAGAATCAGGCCATTCAAGCTCTGGAGAGCAGCCTTGAGCAGTTTACAAAAGAAGAGGCAGAACTGAAAAAAAATCTCCTTATTCTCCAAGAGGCAGATCCTGAGCCACCTGCCAAGAAGAATAGAAGTGAGGAAAGCAGCTGCTCTGAATAGTAAAATGAGGGGAAAACAGGAAAACTCTAAGGAAAGATAGTCTTGTAGTTATTCTGACAGCAAATAATTTCACATCACCAGGCCTTGTGCCTTACAGTCCATTTTCTTAAAAAGGAAGGCATCCTTAAGGCAATGATTCTGATGCAGTCAGAAATTGTTCAAGTCCCCTTTTGGAAACAAAGGGTTTTAATGTTCACATTTCTGATAAAAGAATAATTCTTACAAGATCTCTCCTAGTAGGATGCTCCCTAACTGATTGATAGGATTATTATACAAAGCTTGTGGAGGGATTACATACTGCATGTGATTCACCAGGCTCCTTGATTTCACATTTTGAAAATCAGGGATAGAGGAAATAAAATGGATTGTGACATCAGCCATAGGACAAAGGACATTGACAATTATATTTTAAAGGAGACTGAGCAAACCAGCTGGTCCATGTTGGACATTACATTATTATTGATATTTACCTGATTTTTCATATCACTAATTTTAATTAATCTAGAAAACTAAAGTAGGATTTAGTCTGCGTGATGATAGCTGTGAAATTTTAATTGAATCACTGCCTTTTCGTTTTTATTGTTATTAAGAGCCCTGCTCTTTAAAGTCCCTGATGGGATTTTGACATCTCTTACATTAATTCCTTTTGGTAGAGCTGAAAACAAAAGATTCTGTGGAGGGCACAGTTCTGTGCCTTTGCTAAAGCATTGACCAAAAGTTATGACTACATGCATTTCTACGTATGTTGTGTAGAACCAGTATCTAGTTTGGGTGGAATCTTGAGGTGTTAAGAAACAATTCTATGTTGGTAAACTGTTTTTCAGATAATTTTGAACATTTGGTTTAAGTTTTGTCAATATTTATGCTGTGTATTTTTTGCTACATATTCGCAAAATGTTATTGGTCAACCAGACATGTTAATAAAGATTTTAATAAGGTTTCTTGGTGAGTCTATTATCTACTTTTTCACTTAATGCTTGATAATGGAGAAGGAAATGTTAACTAGTGGGATGGTAAGAATATGTCCATCATCTTAGATGAAGACAACTTGTGTAGTTGCCTCTTGGTTTGTGGTTATTGGGTTGTAAAAAAGTGAACATCCCCTTCCACACCCCAAAGCCTCTTGGAAGTGTTTCAATGATCCCTTCCCCCCGCCCAGCAACTTAAGGATGGTCGGCCGTTGGCTATGTGGGGGGGTGGGGTGGGGAATTTAAGCTGAAAGGGTCAAGTCTTTCCAGGGAAATACAAGTGTAGTATCTTTTAATAGAGAGTTTTGTAAAGGCTTTTTTCGTTTTTGCAATAAGAGTGAGGAAACAAGAAAGAAAGAATATAGATCATTAAAGCATTTAAATATTGAGCTTTCTACGCCCAAGCTTGCAGAACAAATAGCTGAGATAGATTCAATGTAGGGTTTAAATCTTGGGAATTTATTATGGTCCTAAAAGATTATAGGGGCACATACATCTGGAATTAGGAGGGAATGCTAGTAGGAAAACATCATTAACTTAGTCTAATGTCTGTGGTAAAGATATCGATTTAAACTTTCCTTAACCTGGCGAAATTTTGCCTCGGAAGCTTTTTTGAACTTAGCAGGTAAAGGGACCTTTTCAGGTAATGGAGCGAAGCACCTTTTTTTAGCGCGCGTGCGGACCCCTCCTGTTCTAATCTATTGTGTTCGCTGTCAATTGTCATTCATTCAGTATGATTGCTACAAATAACAACTTGGGTCAGATTTTATTTGTGTGATGAACGACGAGACGAAGTGTCACACGCCGTTTTGTCCTAAAGACTGCTCTGTAGTTCATCATGATTTGATCAAAGCCTTGTGCATTGAGAGGAACCGCAGAGAAACCTCTAGCCGCTTTTCTTCCAAGTCCCACGTTTTGCTACGACAGTGCGTTCATTCGTACGAACAAAATGGTTGGGATCGAAACAGCGCCGTGCCAGATTCATTACCAGATCTAAGACACCCACTGCTATATTTAACCTGTGCATTCGGGAAACATCGAGTTCTAGAGACACTGGTGAAGCTAGATTTTAACCCTGCTGTTGTTACTAAGGATGGGGCAAACGGACTTCATGCCTTGGTCGACCATTTTTATCGAGTGGGTAACATGAAACAATGTGGTGGGTTCATGGCGATTGATAAGAGACTGGAAGTGTTTGAAAACGTGGTGAGTATTCTCTGCTCCCGTGACCCTAATATCTTCTCTACCAGAGAGAACATTCAAGGACGTACTCCCTTGCACATGGCTGCCGAAAGTGTAGTCTGTACTAGTAGACATGCCAGAGTGGATGGAAGATGCGATCCCTTGAAAAGGACTAGATACTTTCAACGCTGTTTGGAAGTCATGCTGGGCCACATTCTTGAACTTAGAAGTAACTCTCTGCTGACGGATTCTCAAGTGATGAATACTATTTCAAGTCAGGATAACGAGGGCAACACTATTTTACACATCCTGGCAAAGAGTCGTACCCTTCCGGGCTGGGAATCCATTCAATATCTCCTGAAAAATTTCGCAGATAGCGAATTCCCTCAGAAAAGGAATAAGGACTCCAAAACGGCATTCGACATACTTTCACAGTTCAACGGATTTATGGCGAAGAGGTTGTTTCACCCCAATGATGTGGAGATGATGATGGAACAAGGTAATTGATGAATTTGTATGAATAGAATGTTAGGTTATTACTTAACAGTAACTATAACTGTAATTTGCTCGCCACTTCTAGATATCTTTTTTTCCCAATCAAGATGACCTTTCAACTAACCATGCTCCCCTATGAACTTTGAAAGTTGGCCGGTGTGAACGAAAAAACGAAAAATTGAAACCACAGGAAAAAGAGAGAAAACAAAAGGAAAAACCAGATCTCATATGGAGAAATCAAGAATATCTGTTGATCATTTTAAAAATTCAGTTCATTACTTGATAATTCTACAGGCATGAGGTGTTAGGTCCTCCTAATCCCCTGCAATCCAGCCATTTAATCTTTTTCCCAGTCATTCATGCTATATTTGATAAATAGTCTAGGACACCAAGAGACCTACAGTCCTACAGTTGTATGGTAAACCATTCCTGAGAATAAGATTCTGGGCTGGGCAAAACTTCACAATTTGATTCAGTAGATTGGTTTTCCAATCTGAATTAAAAAGTGGCAAAGCAATTTCTTCAGCTGTTATTCAACATTTTATTACAAGGACTTTGTCCCCAAGTTGTAACTTAAACTATGAAAAACAATTGTAAAACATTTCTTTTTACAGATGTCAATGGCAGTTCCTCACCTACAAACTGTGATCCTTTACTGAGCCTTGAAGCCTCAGGTCTCACCAGGATTACAACATCACCATCCTTTACTAATGACATTACTGTCCAGGCTGTGTGGAGTAAGGCCCCTCAAGCAGCTGGATCTCCATCCAAAGGAATGCAGAAAGTCACTCCAGTTAGGTCACTAGAGTCTGTTGTTCTTTCATTACGCAATACGGCAAAATCTTCAGCCAGTCCAGCTGGAAAGAGTCACACAGGAAGCCCAAGTTCCCCTACCCAAAATGAGCTCTCTGTGCTTTCACCAAATCCCTTCTTGGTTAATGAAAAGTCTAAAGATCCTGTGGGCTTGGAATTGGGGTCAGACTTTGGAGAGGAAAATTCATCAGGTTTTGTTGACAATGAAACAATTTCACCTGGATCAGGTGAGGTGCCATCCCAAATATCTGGAAATGCTGTGGAGGACTTTCCAGCAAGACGTTTCTCTGGTGATGAACCGTACCCTGTTTTCTTGCCAAATTTTTCACAATCTGAAGTGGAGTGCAGTGAATCCGACATAGAAAAACAGGGGGTTAGAGATACATTTTCCTCATGTTGTCCACCTTCGTCACATCAAACCAATGTAGAACTGGAGAATTCTGTTGGTATGTCACCCTCAACTCCAGATTCTTGGATGCTAAGCAGTGAGAGGGAAGCCACTGCTTCTTCCAGCACATCTTGTGTAGCATCACTGGCTGGTTCTAGTCAGCAGTCACCACCACACAAACATTTAGACTCTACTACAACAACTAAACAGAATGGTCAAATTACAGCTGATAGTGCAGAAGACAAACGGCCAGTTGGAACTGCATCTTCCTCAGGGGATAGTGCCTTTTTTGACTTTCTCTTGACACAAGGAAGTGATTTTAACCCATCAATGAAATTGCAGATTGTGGAATTGATTAAGGGCGAGTTTGGAAAAAAGATGACAGGCTTTAATATGGAGATCTTCAAGGTGGAAACTGAGAAGAAAAATTTGGAGTCAGAAATTAAGAACTCCAAACTGAAGTTGCAACAAAAAGAGGAAGAGAGACGCAGATTGTTTGCAGATATTGAAAAACTTCAGAGGAACATTGTGCAAGCAACAGAAAAACACAAAGTACTGACAGAGAAATGCATGAAACTGAAAGAAGACTCAGAAGTTGTAAAGCGAAAGATTTCCTCCTGTGAAGAAGTAGAGAAGGAACTTTTTGGTACCCCTGCTAAGATGCAAAAGTTTTTGGATAGTAAATAATAGATGGATAAATTTTGTCATCAAAAACAAAGAATACAGTGGAGAGGCAAACTTACTCTGTTATCACATCAGCTTCGCAATTTATTCTTCTTGGGGTGAGAGAGGAAATCTTTAGAATTTTTTCATAGTAATTGATCAATATTGTCAATGTAGCAGCTATTTCTATGGACACTGATTCAAAAAAAATGCTCAATCATGTTTTTCCTTTTGCATTCCTCAGTAAAAATCAACATTGAGGTGTTAGATTTCTTCTCAAAACAAAAATTTAAGCAAGCTAGCCCAATTTTCTGTTAGTTGTGAGAGGAGATCTAAAGTGTTCACCAGGTTCATTTAAAGTCTTTCCCTTGTTTTTACTCTGACAAAAAAAAAGCTTCTTGAGTTAGGATTAGATAAGTGTATGGATCAGCAATTTCAAGTTAAACTCTCTCGGGTCAAGTGTATTATGTATCAGCTATTCCCCCTTGACTCTTGATCTTGTAATTGCAGAAGGGAGGACACCTTTTTTCCTTTTCTACTGTAACCAAAATTAATCTTGCCTTCAAAGTATTTAATGATTTAAATTACAAAGAGTAGCTTTAATTCTATGTTGAACTTTGGGCACCTAACATTTTGAAGATCAACATGATTCATTTGTCTTAATGCTTGTAATAGTGATGTTATGGCTCATAAGTTGATATTGACTATTTATGGTATACTTTTGATTATATTTGAAAAGAGTGAAGCTGATCGTAAATGAATTATCTTTATTTGCTGTGTAACCCTTTAACCCCTAAGAGTGATTATCATCTAATTTCTCCTTACAATATCACCCTTAAATCACACTTAAAGGTTATGAGAATTAAAGAAGTGATCACCAACCAAGCAAGCTCTTGATTGTTAGTCAAATTCTCCTTGTCAGCACCTTAAGAAATGTGTTAAGAACAGAATGGAGAATATGCATACTAACCTTAGGGTGTAAAGGGTTAACATGGCTAACATATATTTATACAAAAAGCCTATTTACATCTACAGACATAATATATAAACGTTTGTATATTTTTATTGTTACAGATATAAATAACATCAAACAAGAAGACATTTTCCCAGTTTGTTATTTGCACAGTTTGGGTTTATACAGGAAGAGTAAATTGCAAAACAGTGGCAAACACTCA